GTCCGCGCCGCGGACGTGATTTTACCGAGTTTTTTCTGAATTAAATAATAGGGAAAAATATATATATGTGGGGTTGTAGGGAATTTTAAGCCCTACAACCCCATATTTGGTTTTCGGAAAACTATACTTTTATAGAATTAAAAAAACTAAAAATTCGAAACGGTGCAAAAAAAAAAAAAAAAAAAAAAAAAAAGGCAGATTTTTTTTTTCCATTTTTGGTAGACAGTTCTTTGTGTTCTTTAGTTTGTTGTCTTTCTTGTTTGTTATGAAGATGTGTTGTGTATGAATAAAAAAACAAGGAATGAAAAAAATAAAAATAAAAAAGGAGGCCCTGCTGATGGCATAGTTGATACAACACAGAGGGGTTGGTTGCCCCATGGGAGTGGTGGGGGACCACCACCAGCAGGCAACAACACAGTTTGTGTTGCTGTTTCAGATAAAGATGGGTTTGGAACTGAAACAGCAACACAAATGTTGTTGTTGCTATCAACAGTAATATATCTATATATATATATAGATATATACAGGGTTCCCTAACCAAACGTTCGGGGGGCCCCGGGCTGGCCCTCGAACGTTCGGCCTCTCGTGGTCCCGTTCGGGGGCTGAACACCTCCAGGTTCGGCCCCCGCCAAATTTCTTTTCGGGGCCTAAAAATAAGGTTTTGTTTCTGCTTTTTTTTTTGCGAGTTCTCTATAATGTATCCTACATGCCTAAAGATTTTGAAGCCATTCTGCTGAGCCAGAAAAACATTAAAAATCATCAAAGATGGGGGTGTCAAAACGTGCTCGCCCACTCACTATTTTGTTTTTTTTCACTTATAACTTTTTGTTTTCACTTTATTTCGGGGCCTAAAAAGTTTTATTATTTTTTTAAAATTTCTTAATGAGTTATTGATTATGTAAACTACATATCTGTAAATTTTCAGGGAATAATTAAAAATCAGCAAAGATGGCGGTGTCGAAAAGGGGCTGGCACACTCACTCATTTTAATTCTCTTTTTATTTTGTTTTATTTTTATCATAGTGTTTATTTTCTATATTTGATTTTTAATTCAAATTAAATAAAGAATTTGGATGTAGTGCCCAGGAAAATGTTGTTAAGTTTATTTGTCTCCATAACATTATTTGTTTTCAGAATTTTTTGAAAACGTTTTTTTTTTTTTTTTT